TTTCCTTTCATGAGGGCAGGTAAGAGCAGAGTTGAAATCCTGAAACAGTTGGAAAAGGTACGTGTGTGGGTCGGGAGGAGGAGGAATTCAAAAAGTTTGATTGCATGCAGAGTTATGTTGCCTTTACACACACAAACACATACACACACACACACACACACACCTGGATAAAAGTATATAAGCCCAGCTTCACTGATTACAAGTTTGAAAAGGCAATGTGGCTCCACCTGCAATCAAAGGTTCGGATTGGAAGGCAGCAGGGGAAAGGGGGGGGGTATGGCAGAGGAGCTGCTTTCAAGTCATTGGAAAATATATCCAGTCCAATTTCTTTGTTTGTGCTTGTTTGAGAGTGAGAGAGGGATCCAACTTCTCTATGTGCGTGTGTCTGTTTGAGAGAGGGGGGAGGGAGAAGAAAAAGAATGAAGGAAAACGTATTTTGCAAGGAGGGAAAATGCTGTCGCTTGAAATCAGAACTGAGCATGCCTGGCTGTGGAATTCTGGGAGTTGAAGTCCACAAGTCTAAAAAACTTGCTGCCTCACCAGCCATAAAGCTCACCGCACATCACTGTGTAATACAGGTAGTTAACAAGTTACACTAGCAATTGGAATCAGAATTTTTGCCACTAAGCAATATGGTCATAAAGTGTGACTGACCCTTTAGGTAATAAAATGCAGTAAAACTTAATAACTTCCTTAGCAACAGAAATGTTCGGCTCAATTGTCATAGGTCAAGAACTATCTTTATTCATAATTACTGTTTCAATTGTTTTACCTCATATTTTCAAAAGTCAGCATTTCTAGTCACTTTGTTTACATCTTATGCATTATTTGTTTTTGATACATAATTTTGTTTAATTGGCTGTATACCTTTGGGTGGTTTTGTATTGAACTGTAGAGCCTTTTGTTTTTTTTTAACATTTTGGAGTGTTTATATAAAGAGAGTAAGAAAGTAATACTTTTCCTTCGTTGCATTCTAAATTTAAGGAAGTAGACTTGGAAAAGTTAAAGGCCCAACATTCCGAATATCAGGGGTACAAGTAAATGCAAAATTGGTTATCTCACACGAAGAAGAGTTGGAACCTTTGCATAAATCCATTCCTTCAGATCCAGAGGAAAGAAAGAGGTTTGTATCTCCATATTTGTTTTCTTAAGTAGAAACGCTGACAATTGTAATCACACTGTAGTCACTATTAAAGTGACTGTGGTGTAATGATCAGTGTACATCATTGCACCCAAAGAACCTTGTGTTATACATTTTAATGATCCCCAAATAATCAGATCATTCATCTTCTAACAGTTTTCACAGAAATGTTAATATACAGTGGAGAAACAATTTTACAATGCTAACAAATATTTCGTTAAACATGTATTCTTTCTGTTTTGTATTGCTTACGTTCTACTCTTAGACATTACTTCTGAAGCATACTCACTTTTTATTTAGATACACCATTCCTTGTCACACTAAGGCTGCTCATTTTGATATGGATTGGGGTAAGGAAGATGATTCCAACCTTCTAATAGGCATTTATGAGTATGGATATGGTAGCTGGGAAATGATAAAAATGGATCCAGATCTCAACTTGACACACAAAGTAAGTCCTTTTCTATTCGTTGAATATAATGTTGCTTGAAAGATTAAAGTTGTTTCTTAGGGAAGTGTTCATAGTGACTTTTTTTGGAACTCTGCAGTGAGAGATTAGCTGGTGCCATACTATCTTAGTTAATTCATTTGGGATTTTATATTTTTACTATGATGTCTTCAGAAAAATAAGAAAAATATTTTTATATGGATTCCCCTTACTTTTTCATTGCATTTTAATCAGCAAAGTATTTCAAAACTATCAAAATGTAAATATCCTGTCCTCAATAATGCCATCTATTCGATTCAGTATATGTCTATAAGAGAAAGTGACACAAATTGAACATACATTTTGCTGTATAGTAGCAGGGTAATATATTACAAGAATGAATACGAACTTAACATTTTATTCCATATTGTTCTATTTCATCTGTATATGTAAGTTTTCTTCCTTGGTCACCTGGAGTATTCATTTGTCTATTGTTCATTTTATCCCATATTTATTACTTTATAACAAAGTGATGAACATACATAAAGTTCCTTCCTCCTTCTATTTCCCCACAACAAAAATTGTGTCTCAGTGTTTCTATACATTACACTATACAGATAGATACAGGGATCGTAGGCAGATAAATAGATCAAATATTATACCTTAATGTGAACATTTACTGGTAAGGAGCATATTTGGATTGGATTTGGATTTTATTGGGTTTGTATGCCGCCCTATTCCTGAGGGACTAATCTGCGGCTCACAATAGAAAAGGGGAAGGAATACAAAATAAAATAAAATAAAATAAACAACAATTTAAAATTATACAACAGCCGTAACCTCGAATGGGGCTGGATGGCTCAACAGCCCCAAGCCTGCCGGAACAGCCAGCTCTTAACTGCTTTGCGGAAGGCCAGGAGGGTAGTAAGGTCCAGATCTCCATGGGGAGATTGTTCCAGAGGGCCGGAGCAGCCACAGAGAAGGCCCTCCATAGCTTAACAGTCCGCTTTCATTGTGAAAG